TCTGTGAAACCTTGTCAAAACCCTTTATAGGAATACTCCTACCCTCCGTAATTTGGGTGGTGTAGCTAGGTTTTTATTAATGTTATGCAGCTGAAGTGATTAGCCAACAGAGTCATGTATTATTTTTTGCGAACATCATAGGTTTCAAGTCCTGTAATATGATATAGAACATTCTTTTCCATGAAAGTAATAACGTTTCAAGATTCTTTGGTGGATGGAGGCTTTTACATGTGAATGCTTGAGGACTCCCTGCGGAGATTTTTGCGGCTGAAAATTTCAGGGCAGTGCAACAATTATAACTTCACATGTGCATTGTATTTTTTTTCTTTTTGAGGTTTAATGTAGTTTCTTGTGTACTATGTATTTATGTCTATTATAATTTCTTTCGTTTCATATGTATATTTTTGCAAGGATCTGCGACGGTCTAAGTTTTGCCACATTTAGATCCTGGTGATCTCTGACTTTATTAAAGGCGGTTTCTGGTTGTGTAGTTAACAGTACTCAAGTTGTAATAATTGTATTTTCACAATGTAAATAAACTTCAACTTTACCACCATGTCTCCCGCCTAGGCACTAATTCATTTTTGAGTGAAATGGTTCTGTGAACCATTTATCCTCTCTGACAATATCCTTTACATTTTCTTCACTTATAATTGCATAGTACTGAGAGTTTCTGAAAAGCATGCTATTTCAGTGTAAACATTTGCTTAAATTGAATGAGTATAATCTGTATTTAGCAACGTTTGTGATTATAAACAAGAGAAAAAGGAAATCATTGTGGGAAGCCAAGAGACACCAAGAAAGGAAATCAGTAAAGGGAAACATTGCTAAAATACATCACAAGATCTCTTTTGTGCAAAAGATGTAATTTAATTACCATAAAGATTCAAATCTAACCTTTAACATACCTTTTGGGGGAAGCAGAGGAAGATATGAAGAAGCAGAAGGACGTTTTTTGCTGGAAGTGGGGGGACATAGAATTACCGCCACGTTGAGGAAAACCCTTTCACCGGGGAGCTAAATTTAGGAAGATCGGTGAAGGAATCGGTTTTAGAATATAGGAGAAGAATCGGTTTAGGTTGAGAGGAAGAATGAGCTGTGATTGAATAGGAGAAGAATCTGGAGTTAGAAAAATATTTCGGGAATCATTTTTCCGTGGACCCACCCTAAAAAATCCACTTCCGCCGTATTTCATACATTGGAGGTCAGAAAAATATTAAGAAAATAAGATGCCCCCGGCTAGAGACACGTCAGTTTTAAGGAATAGCGGAAGTAGCTTTCGGAGAAACAAAACAACATTTTTATATGGAAGTAACAAAAATAGCTCTGATCCTCTAACTTCTTGCTACTTCATATACTTCAGTATAAACAAACAGGGCCCTTAGGGGGTGTTTGTTTTGTATCCCAAATTTATGGATATGCGATGTTACACAGTAGAATTTAAAATCATATAATTTGTTACATTTTGGGATCTCTAAAATTTTGTTGTTTCATCAATATTTTGGATTTGGAGATACCCAAATTATGTAATATTTTGTTTGTTTCATTCAATATTTTAGGATTTAGTACTTAATATCTATAGATATTGTTTGTATTCATCAAATTTTGGGATTGGATACTATAATTATATTATAATTTATATCAATATTTTAATAACATATATTATTATAATATTATATAATAATTTGGATTTGAAATACTACAGCTGAACAGTATTTGTTATGTCCTCCTATATATATTATATATATATATATAATAATTATATATATATATATTATTTATGTATAGATATAATTTAATATATATAATATAAGTACTATACAATTATATTATAAAAAATATATATATTATATATAATATATTATACATATTATTAATTATAATGATATAATATTTATTAATATATATATTATAATATATAATATTATATGTAATTTAATAATATATATAATGTACAGTAATTACTAGCAATGAACAGTTGATACTATAATATATAATTATATATAATATACATATATATTATTAGATATCAGTATATAATATATTATAATATAATAATTTATTATATATATAATATTATATATCATCATATAAATATTATATATTATATTATTATTATATATTATTATTTAATACATTATATATATAAAATAATATATTATTTTTATATATTATATTATATATAATTTATATGTATTATTATATATATTATATATTACTATATTATAATATTATTATATAATAAATAATATATATAATATATATTGTAATATAATATAACATATAATTAGATAATATATATATATATATATATATATATTATATATAATATATATATATATATATTATATATATATTTACATATATTTATATATTTATTATATTATATATTATTAACTATATATACAATATATTTATATTTATATATTATATATTATTATAATTATCTATATTATATTTATTTATTATATAATATATATAAAGAATAATATAATATTATTATATATTATATTATATAAAATTATATTTATATATATATATTATATATTATAATAATATAATATATATATATATATATAGTATATATATATATATAATATATATATATATATATATATATACTATATATTATCATTATAATATTATATATTTATATAATAATATAATATAAATATTATATAATATTATATAATATATATATATTATATATATTATATTTATATATATATATATATATATATATATAATAGTATATAATATATATTATATATAACTATATTATTGATGTTAATTATATTACATATATTGGTTATATATTAATTATATATATATTATATAATTATATAATATTCATTATATATATAATATTAGTATATTTTATATATGATTATCATATTACTATATATATTTTATTATCTTTTATTAATAATTTATATTATTATTTTATCATCTATATTTAAATATTAATATATATTTATATTATTATATAAATTATATATATTATTTATTAATAATATAATATATTATTATAATAACTGCCTACAGTAATTTACGTGGCCAGCATTTACTAAAGCGATGAACTAGTGATTCTTGGTCCTCCTATAATTATAGAGAATAGATGTATTATATTAAATATTATATTATATATAATATTATATTTATATAATTATTTATATTAATCTTTATATTAATCTACATTTATAAGCTTAATACATCAATATCCAACCTACTCTCTCTCAATTGTAGGATTTCGCAATTCTAAAATAATAGTTTTTTATTATTTGGGGATTCATAATCCCAAATTGGTTTTGAAACAACATGGTTTATGGAGAATTCTAAAATCAAAAAATTTGTAATCCACCTTATTATCCCAAAAAGAGTTGAAAACAAAAGAGATGATTTCACAAACCTAAAAAAGATATTATTTTTTTATAATTTAGGGATTCAATATCCCAAAAAAAAAGTGAAACAAACAAAGTTTAAGGAATACCAAAACTTAAAAAAAGCACTTTTTACATCCCAAAACTTGAAATCCACCCTATATCCCAAAAAAAATGTGAAACAAACACCCCCTTAGGGTCCGTTCTTTTCGGAAAAAAAACTTGGAAATTAAAGAATAGGAAACTTATTTCCTATAATAATTGTTTTGAGGTTGTTTGGTTGGGTTAAAAAAGAAGTAAATTATAGAATAAGTGATGAGATGAGATGAGTTGTCACCTTATTATTGGATGATGTGAGTGATTTTAAAAAAAAACTTGTTTTGAGGTTGTTTGGTTGGTTAAAAAAATAAGGAAATGAATTGGAGGTATATTATTGGATGATGTTTTGAGGTTGTTTGTGTTTGGTTCATTTTTAAAAATAAGAAAATAGATGAGATGAGATGAGATGAGTTGGAGGTATATTATTGGATGATGTTTTGAGGTTGTTTGTGTTTGGTTCATTTTTAAAAATAAGAAAATAGATGAGATGAGTTGGAGGTATATTATTGGATGATGTGACACATACTTAAGGAAATCAATTTCTTATTTTTTTTGAGGAAATGGATGGAAAGGAAGGTTTAATGAGATGAGATGAGTTGTCACAATATTATTGGATGATGTGTGTGATTTTTAAAAATGGGATAAGATGAGATGTGATGAGTTGGATGATGTGACACATTTCTTGTGTTTGGTTTATTTTTAAAGGTAAGAAATGAGATGAAATGAGATGAGTTGGAGGATAAAAATAATATTTTATTGGATGTTGTGGGTGAGTTTTAGGGATGTAAATGGATAAAAATATTATTTTATTGATTTCCTTGTACCGATTTCCTTTTTTTGGTTTTTAGGAAACCAACCAAACAGCCCCTTACCTATTTTCCAATTTGAACTATGTATACGTATAAAATGTGATCATTTTGCGAGTATATTATAGTTAAATATTCAACAGATTAATGAGGTAATATGTTTTTTTTATTTCTTATATTTTAATTGAAATCTGGAAAATAATTTTTTAATTCATAAAGCGGTTTAAAACATAAAATATTTGAGAATAAAGTAGTTAAAAGATGTTTTTAGGTTGGAGGAAAAGGTGATAAACTGATAAAAACTAATAAAAAGATAAAAACTAACACGGTTACGTTATTACTCTATTAAATATTTAACTGTATACTCCTAAAACGAACTATATAGAAACTACAAACATAATTTAAAAATAAAACAAATAAATTGATATTTTAAAAGGCAAGTCCTAGAAATGATCGTCCATTCTGGTATAACACTTTTGCTTTTTCCTCGGGTAAAGTAGAGATAGATATGGTCGCTATATAAATGGGTTGGGTTATCACTTAGGCCCATTAATAATCAACAGTCAAATTGGGCCGTGGATGTCACATGGGGCCGGGTTCCTAAATGACCCGACAAGCATTTAAATCCACATCTAAACCCTAGACTGTAAATTGGCGGTCGCGGTGTCCAAAGTGCTGCTACAAAATCGTCGCCGCTGCATCCCAGGATTGAGAGAGAGAGAGAGAGAGAGAGAGAGAGTGAGACATGTCGGATCACGATAGCGACGCCGATGCACCCGAGGACATCACGGAGGTGGATCGAGAGATGTCGGATCACGATAGCGACTCCGATGCACCCGAGGAGCTAACGGCTCAAGAGGTCCGTACTTTGCCTCCTTTGTATTTGCAAAATTTCATCTTGGTCTGAGTTCTCTAGTAGATTCAATTTGATCAGTTTCTAGGGTTTCAAAGGTGGGACATTTCATGCTCTGTGATTGATTTTGTGTTTTTTATTCTGTTTTGGTGACGAAAAAAAAAATAAGGCTGTTTAAAGATTCGGATTTACAATCGATAGAGCTCTTTAGCAGAAAAAACCCATTTTTCTTTAAATTGTTAAAAAAAAAAATTGGAAGATGTAGAATAGGAAATCGCTTGGAAAGCAAAAACAATGTTTAGTTTTACATTAATCGGAAATTAGAAACTAAATAGCCCTACTGTATGGTTAAGGGTTTAAAAAAAACTTTTTTATCCTATTAAAAAAAAGGAGTATGCTTAAAACAAGCTATTGATTTTTACCTAAAACACTATTGTGAACCATATTAGATTAAAAAGCAGTGCTAAGAAAATGGAAATAAATTTGTTAATAATGTGGCAAATAGTATACACTTGAAGGGAAAAAACTTGACGTCATCATTATTATTAGTATTTATATAATTATATTTTTCATGTCTATAAGTGCAAATAAATAATAAGGAGACTGCTTATAAACATTTTACCCCTATCCTACTCGTTCATATAAACAGCTAGAACTCTCATCCTTAGCCTACTTGTTTAGATAAAAGACTAAAATAAATAAATGAAAAAGTATATAGTATATATATATATAATATATTTATATATATATATATATATTATATATATATATATATATATATATATATATATATATATATGAGAGAAATGTTGTATGCTATTACCAAGCCAAATTTTGTGCTTTAGTGAAATGTCCTATTCTCATCCACTCATTTCAATCTCAACCACATTTCTCTCCCCCCCCTCCTCTCTCTCTCTCTCTCTTAATATATATATATATATATATATATATATATATATATATATATATATATTATAGCGAGAGAGAGAGAGAGAAAGAACTTTTGGTATCAAGTTGTTCCGTTGAATTTGTAGTGATGTTGGACTGATCTGACCCCTACATCATATACTCAAAAGAAGTCTTAACCGCCTTTTCACCTATTTCCAATATAGATGTAGGACGCGAATCAATCCAAGTATCACTTACCAAGTTCAAATGGAGAACTTGGTACGAGTTCTTTATTTTTCATCATATATATATATATATATATATTATATATTATATATATATATATATAATATATATATATATATATAATATAGAGAGAGAGAAGAGAGGAGAGGAGAGAGAGAGATTAAATGGTACCTTCATGTCAAGGAGGGGAATTTCCTCTTGGAAAATGATGTGGCACAAATCCCCACCATGTGAATAAAGTAGGAGAGAGAATATCACATGGTGGGGATTGTGCCAGCATCATTTCAAGGAGAGAAATCCCTTCTATGACAATGTACCTTTTTTTTTATTAATTTTTTTTTTCTTTTTTTTTTTTCATATTAAAAATAATTTAAATATATTTTTTTTAAAAATTATATAATAATATATAGCTGTTTAGTCTTACGCATTGCCTCCATTAATTCTCATCCATCATGTCATCATGTCAACCAAATTAGTTCAAAATATCCTTACCGATACTCACTGGCACATAAATTATCAATCCAACCACTTCGTCTAGCGTAAAGCACTCATACTTTCATACACCTTCCAAAGCGTATTTTCTATCAAAAGCAGCCACATGGTTAATTGTACCAAACAGAGCATGAATTCTTGCTTTACTGACAAATATCCTATTCTCTTTATTCAAAATCCAACATACAGTCGCCCATTCTGACATTTCTAAAGAAAACCATAAATCTGGTAACGTACAGATCAAGGGGATGATCTACATCTCAAATTATTTATTATGTATTACGAATGTTGCACCTAAGAAAAATTTGTAAAATTACATGAGAAATTGTTGATTTTAGTGATCGAACAGGGGGTTTATCTGTAGATTATGAGGGTGTTAGGGTCCTCAAACTTTCTCAGATGTCTAGTTCCTGTGCCAGATGTTCTATTCTGCACATGAAGAACTCGTGAAAGGCCGGAGTTAGGATTTTCGATGGTTCATCCAACGATCAGGTCAGTATTTGAGCTTGATTGGAGAAGTAAGAGACAAGTAAAGAAAATGATTCATTATTGCTTAGAAGACCCTGACCTTACCCTAGACAGTTACCTTTTATAGTAGGCCGGATAGGTAGATAGGTAAATTTGGTCGAGTCGAGTTGGCGGCCTAGTCATTATCTACTTTACGGTTGTCGCCCGCTGAAGGGGGTGATTCACCCAAGCATTTAATGTGGGGGTGACAGGAGGAAAATAGTGATGACAATGTCCAGTGAGTCATAAAGACTATTGGGGCTAGAGCAATGATGACTATGACCACGCATTTAAAATAATATCAATCGTCTGTCGGCGGGGGACTCGAGGACACACCGCTGCTCAACTCGCCTCGTTGGAGGCCGGCAATCACTACCTTTTAAATCGGCCTCGTGAGTTGTCGGTCTGGAAGAGCCGAATGGCAATAGAGAGTGGAATCGATTTGAGTGGTAGGTCGAGTGATGATGCTTTTCGTCTCGATCCTGTGGGTAGGTCGACAAGTACCGTCTTTCCAGTTAGTTTCACAAGTTATCAGCCTGTTGGGTCGACTGCTGGAGCTACTCAAGTCGTCCCTCTTTGAATTCGGCTGATTAGTCATGGGGTGGGACACGTGTCATCTCTTAATTGGATCAACACTTAAACTATTTTGCATGCTATAACAGAAATATTCTCCATATGACATCCACATTACATTTGATTCTAAAGGTTGTTATCTCATCAAGACTCAAAGTTTATTTATTTTTCTTTTTTTTATAATTGAATTTGGTTTTAACTAAGCATACCTATGCGATGCAGATTCTTGTAAATGCGATGGAAGAATCTTTTATAAGTTTGACATAATTTTGATAGATTCATCTTCTGAATAACAATTTCAGGGTACCACAAAAGATGAAGAGATTAGGAAAATCCAACGAGAAAATGAAGTCAGGTAAGTTTCTATCCATGTATAGTCTCAGTATTTTAATTATAGTTGTCTGGTTATGCCTGCCAACTTTGTTATTGCATGGGCTTCTTTGCCAGCATCATTTGAAACACTAAGTACAAATTAAATGTTGTTGCTTCATCCTGGTAGAAACCATTACTTGCTCAAATTTCATTTGTGGTTAACTATCATCCTCTCATGCTAATGATATTACGGTGCAAGTTTTCTTCGATGCATGAAACATCTTTAATCACACCTAAGTTGTCATTGAAGAAACTGTACATGCACTTCTTTTATAAGAGCTCCATATATTTAAATGTAGTAAAAACAAGCTCTTTATTTTATTAGCCTGTGGATAAATTTTGCCTAAAGAAAAATGTATGGAGTAAGTATTTTAATGTTCTTATGTTATTTGTCGCTTGAATGTTCCATTTCCTTGTCTCCCTTGCTGGGTTATCTAAACTGGTTTAATTCTTTCAGGGTGGCTTGGGAAGGCAAAGAGCGGAGAAGGCAGTGGGCACAAAGGAAAGCTCCACCAAAATTAGACGATGATGTTCAAAGGAAGGAACCTCCAACATCAGCCGATGATCTTGATCAAGAATTTACAGATAAAGAAGAGCCTCAAGAGGGGGCAATTATATCAGGGATGCTTCCAAGCAATATCGTTGATCTTCTTGCAGCTTGTGAAAAGTATGTTTTTTTCATTTCCTTAATATGTTTGGCCATCTGAGTTGTTTGGTGCAGTAAACGACATGGGGTGGTAATGAATTGAATAATTAACAAATAGTTCATTAATTGTTGGAGCAACTATTCGGTTTATATTTGATTCCGTAGTTACTTTAGCACTAAACAAACATTTAATAATATTTGGATTCATAAACAAATATAACTTAACCAGATGAACATTCATTTCATATGTTTGTCAAATATTTGTTTAAAGTTTGATCGCTTATAATTTTGTATTATTATCCATACGATGTTTTGTTTTCAATCCATTTACATTTTCTACTTAAGTTCTAAATACTAATATTGAGACTCAAATGGTCCTTAATCAGTTTTCAAACAAAATATTTGAATTAAATATGTATACATCATAGTTATAAAGTAGTAACATGCAAGGACAAATTTAATTACTATTTGAAAGTTAAATTCTTTAGCAAAATGATTAAACTTTAATATTCAACAAATATTCGTGAATATTTGTCAAATACCGAGCATTCTAGCTTGAACTTGGGGGTGGGAGTGGGCGGGGGGGGAGAAAAGAAAAAGAAACCCTCCGTAAATGGATATTCACCTTTTATCTTGGAAGGCACTTATTGGGTGTATTCTTTATGGGACGGTTGCATTTTGTGACATTCTTACCCTCCCTAGGATGGGTTTACACGTGAGGGAAAAGTATGAAGCGCTTCATTGTAATCATCACCATAATTCCTGTCATCTTCTAACCCATCAAAATGACGCATTAGCATTTCTCTGTCTTGTTTCTTCTTCCCCTGACCATAAATCAAAGATGCCGCATGCTCAACTTTTGAGTTTTGCTAGACAAGGATGATCGGATAAGAATGCGTTGATCTTTTTGCCTCTTATGCTTTATGAATTTTTATCCATACATAGCTATATATCTATGGCGGATTTGCCTAACTGATTCGTATTCATACTGGAAACGTCGGTTGCAGTTGGTAGTGAATTCTGTTGATAGGAGTAGCTTCTCCTATAAAACAGCTCTTCTCTTCTTGTCTAATCCGTAGAGTGAGTGTTGCCCTCTACGGCTTTTTGCATACCATTCGCAAGCATATTTGTCCTGCACTATATGTTGGAAAATGGAAGTCTGACGACTCTTCACTTTTGTAGGAAAACCTTCGCTTCAGACTCGGAAGAGGAGATTGTAAATCACAAGCCCAACAAAAAGAAGAAAAAGCAGAAATTGTCCGGGTACGTCTTTCAGTAGTCCTAGCAGAAAACCATATGCATATCAACGAGGGTCAATTGTGGATAGACCACCTTTACCATCACCCAATTGTGGATAGACCCCTATAATTCTATTGTCATAGATGGACCCCCTAAGTGATTTCTTTTTGGGACTATGTTAACCGCCAAGAAGGAGATTTTTCTTTCTTTTTCTTTTTCCTTTTTTGACAAGTAGACCTCCTGCTGGCATAAGAGAACAAAAGTTTCACTTAGAGGGTTTATCTGCAATAATAGATCTATGGGGGTCTATCCGCAATTAATCCTAACAATAATCATTTCCTTAACCTAATAATGATGTTTATCAGGCCTGAAACTGTGCTTCTGAAGGAAATACCCCCTGCCCAGTGCCAGCAGAACGCCATAGAATTCCTAAAGAGGAGAAAGATGCGAGTCCCAAGGTCTTTTTCTGTTCTGAAAAACTCGAAGCAGGCTCTTCGCCTTCTTTCCTCCCGTGAGAGCCTGTCAAGTACGAGGTGAATGTTTAATTGAGGAGCATTCTGCTTCCGTAGGGTGAAATTCTAGACACAGTAGAAACTCAGTTCTATAGAGCAATTCCTGATCAGTTGAGAGTAGACCTGTGGGGATCTTCTTTGTAATGCTGTTCCTCGGATTGATACGTATTTTTAAGCTTTTATGTAGAAATTTGCGGAGAGCTATTGTAATTTTTTTTTTTTTTTTTTTTTGAGAAATTTTGGAAGTTTATTTGTCACTGTGTTGCCAATTGGGATAAATTCAACCGTACAGTGTAGCGTATGGCTGTTTTGCATATGATGATTAGCACATATATATATATCATCTTAAGCAATAGTTATAATACAGCTCAGATGGGCTCCACAGTAGGTTCTTAATACCAAAATACCAAGCTCAGAAATCTGATCGAACTCTATTGATATACCTGGCTCCGTTGAACAAAGTCAATAGATAGCTAATTATTTCACACACGCATTTCTCCAGGCGCATGTCTAAAATTATATTTGCTAACTGATCCGACTTGAATAAAGTTCACGGTATTTGTAAGCTGTAACAATTAGTTTTAACTGAAAAAACATTTTCTCAGAACAAATAGCTTAATCATAGGTTTCCAAGTCATATTCTTTCAAAACTTCTGATTGTAGGCTTGAGAAAGCACAAGATCCACCTTGGTCTCGTTTAGCGAAGTCCACAGACTATGTAAAACACTGAGGCTCAAAATCTTAATAACCAGAAAACCAGGAGAAAAGAAAGGTGTGTTGTGTGTGTGTGTGTGTGGGGGGGGGGGGGGGGGGCGGACTTAGGGCAACAACCCATCAGATTCTTAAACCTGGACAAAAACAACCCACCATGAACAAATAAGATTAATGAGCAACTACAAAGGCTATCCAAAGTTTCAGAGCAAACAGATATCCCCAATAACAGCATTAAGAAAAACCTGTTAAAATCTATACTATATGCTAATGGCTGTGACAATCAGCAATCTGAATGAGCTAAAGGAGCGACCAAGAGAAATACTTCTCAACAACATCAAACTTGGTACCGAGCCTTAGCAAATCTATCGTGTTTCTTTGCATCATCCTGAAACAAGAAAGATTTGCGTTAAGCTAAATAAGCCACAGATTTTTTTTAAAAACGAAAAAAAAAAAAATTCTACAAGCAGAGAACATACATGAAGTACAAATCCGATAGGCTCGTTGTAGTCAAGAAACTCTTTCCACTGCTTTCCAATGCTCAGCTGTAAAATATAGAATGTAAACGGCCATATGGGAATGTGTTGAACCATCATGCTAGAGTGGCCAATTGATGATATGATGATGACCATGCTTACACACACACACACACAAACACACACACACCAGACCAGTCTACTAATCTCCACTACACGCTTATGTGGGTGCGTGTAGCAGGATAACAAAGAACTGATTCAACTCATTAATGACGCTTCCTGTGAGTTAGGTCATATATTGGCTGGAGCCTGGAATGAAATTCTAGTATTAGGACACAAATTTATTTATAGGTCAGATTTATGGCAATCTTTTCCGGGAACTGATTATTTGGCATTCACAGAGCAGAGTAGCTTATAACATCAAACTGCAACTATACGTTTATCTCGGAAACTGTGAAGGAAGGTACGCAACAAAAAACATATACAATCGAGAGAGAAGTATCCAGCTATATATACCTGAGAAGCTTCATTTAAACCATTTTTTGTCCAAATTGAAATCTTTTCCTGCTTTGCTCGGACATTGACAACTGCCCCACATATATCATCACCATGATCAAACTGTTCGCCAATCATAGCTAACAACTAACAGAAGCGAAAGAGGAAGGTTGATGGGATGAATTGAGCAAAACTAAATGATTTAAGATAAAAGATTAAAGAGGTCAGAGGCATACAGTTTGTAACCACCAATTGTCAACCTTCCCCCTAGAGCAACTTATAGTCCACTTCCCTCCATTCGCGCAGACTGGATCCTCCCATTTTGGCTCTGTTCCATATTTAAAGCAACTGAAATCCGCCCCCACAGCCAGTTTGCTTGGATGATGTATATTATTGTAAAGCCTGAAAAGAAAATACTTCAGTTATATTCCAAAAATGCGGGGAACTTTGTATTATAATTGTATTCTCACTGTGGATGAGTTCATAAAGAATCTACTTTGCATTTTCTCTTGTATAAAGGGTGCATCCATGAGTATACTGTGAGATACATAGACATAAACTTAATGCGTGTGAATGTGTGGGTTGTATGAATACAAGTGCAAAGTAATCTACAGCAAAGACCATTCCAATATCCAAAACACTGATCAAAGTCAGACTTCACGGCTTCAATTTTATGGAAAATAAGAAGTTCTCCGTAGCATTTGGGTTCACATATCAGAAAGGATAGCAATCTCCATAGAGGAAGCATAGAGCCAGATGATTAAACCTCTATTGTTTAAAAACAATTAAAGCAGTAAAGATCTTTGTCTGGCTTCCCAAGGAAGAAATATAATCTATAAACTGAGATGCCCAATAAAGTGGACAAACCAAAACCATACAGTCAAATCTTGCACAATGATGTGGAGTTGCCTTTACAAGTTTACCAGCAACAACATCCCGTGCCGTCACAAACTCACCAGAAAAATTCTTAAAGTTCGGTTATTAGACCTAATACAGCATGCCACACAATCTAACGAAGGTCTCCAGCAATATACTAAGGCCGAGATCCAACAATTAGCCACAATAGTTCGTAAGAACAAAAGTATCATAAAAAGTTTGTGATCTAGTTTTCACAGTCAATAGATGAAAATAATCCAAAGGACTAGTAATTAAGATTTACCTTAATACCATGAGCGTCAAGCATCATCAGACATTGATAATCTAGAAAACTAGACGGGAAACTGTGACTTGGGAAGAAATCTACCACAAGTATTGCCAAAAAATATTGCTTAAGTGTGCAACATACAAAATATTAAATCAGCCATTATGTTCATTAACTTGTAGCAAGAAAATGGTGAGGAGATGGCTAGTCTATGCTATTGGGTAATAAGAAAGGAATTCAAAAATGTACTCATGCAAGGTTGTCGTTTGGCAATGCGATGCTCTGCAATGCCTATGTTAGTCTGTAGCTTCCTTTATAACAACCAACAACACATATTAACTAGTTTACCCATTGACATGTCCTTTTAATTATTATTGAAATTTGAGGTTTGCCATGTCTGAACCTTGTAACAGTGTCCATAAACATCTATATACATCTTTTGTCTCCAAGTATTTCGCCTGCCCTCTTTTTCTACGCAGCTAGAACACCTACCCCCATCGTATTTTGTATATGTACTGGTGTTGTAAATGTCTCACAGTTTAGAAGCATGAAGCTTTGAGTGTGAGCTTCAATTATATATTTCTTAGCTACCTTTCATGTTACAACACATTCTTCTTCATACGCTAAGTTTAGCTGTGTATCCAAAATAGTTTTGTAGTGATATGATAAAATAGATCTGAAAGTAACCAACAAATAAGAGTTAAAGTACCAGTTTTACATGTTCTAGTGTCCCTTAGATGCCTGTTAGGCTTTTACTAATCTGAAATTCATCAAGTATCTTGATTATTACTGTTGGTGCCAGGCTGCAGTCCGTCTGTTCTATGTTTAGAAATGCGGTGGTTAACTGCGTTTTCTAGCTTTTCTTATAGACCGTTAGCTTCCTTTATTGATGAGTAAGACATATTTTGCTGTGCATATACTCTATTTTTCAACATTTAAACAAAAATGACTTCAGGATCACTATACAACTTCTTTATGTGAACTTGCAAGCTGTGGTACTGGTAAGTTAGAAATTTTTTATGAGTTGCATACTGTTTTCAACAGTAAATCCCTTGCTCGTAGGCGTGGCCTGATAATAATCATAAGATTCATATTGCAACATTTATAATTCATCTTGATTGCACTTTATAATCCCATGTCAGTTTATTCTTATGGTTCACCATACCAATTTGCCAAGTCATCCTTATTTTTAACTGGAAATTTTGAATTTTGTTGATCAATATACCATGGAATCTAACTAATCTGCACCAATTTCCTTTTTTGGCCCCAACTTCATAGGGAACAAATTCGCCAATTTCTTCCTCAACTGTACCATACAAACGTGCTACATACAAAACTAACCCCCAAAGAAAAACCCTAGATCTCTCAAAAGACAACAAGCCTTACCCCCAAAAGTCCTCCACAGTAGCGAACGTGTGAACGGAGCGGATCGAGCTGCCCCAATCAACCTGCTTCGACTTCGCCGACAGATTATCGAACCAAAACGTCCACGAGTGCTCCAACGGATGCGACGACTGGCGTCGAGAGCGGGGGAACTCCGCCTCGAGATCGGAGGCGGAGAGATCGGCCGACTCAAGGCGACAGAAATAGGTGAGTATACCCAACTCAAAAATAAGCTCGTTGGCAATGAATAGAAGAAGAAATATCATCTTTTGTTTTATTTTGTTTTCTCTTTGTTTTTGTTTTCGGTTTATATTGCAATGGGAAAAATAAACCATCGCGACGTCGAATCTCCGTGCGATTTGAATGCGTTCGGTGATGAGTGAAGACGAAGAGAGGGTTGGGACGTTTGGGCCTTTGCAGGGTCTAATTAGTTTTTGGGCTTCGATGGGGTTATATTTCTCATAAACCCAGACCCGACCCGAAACCATAACAGTTTAATTAACCGGCTGCGGCCGGTTAAACCATCCTCTGAAAGACTCCAGCCGGTCAAAACCCGTCACCGTCTTCAACCACGGGATCTCTCTACTTTCTGATTCATCATCCAACATAATAATTTTCGCCATCGCTCTCTCTCTCTCTCTCTCTCTCTCTAAACTTTCCCCCGCTCATCTCTTATAGAGATCGCACGATCCAACATAATAATCTTCACCAATTTCAGGCAAGTCTCTCTCTTTAAGTATCTGATCGAAGGCTCGTGGTGTCTCGCTGAAGTGGAGTTAGGGTTTTTTTTTTTTTTTTTTTGCCCC